TTGACAATGATATTGCACACCGTATTGGACCGGTGTGAGTGAAATAGAAGCTCGCCACTAGGGTATTAACGTGTGATACAAATGTGTCACCAATGATTAAAAGATAACTTTTATAGAGTGGTGGTTAGACCAACACTATTGTATGAGGCTGAGTGCTAGCCAATCAAGAATGTCCACGTTCAAAAGATGAGGCTAGCAAATACGAGGATGTTCAGATGAATGGGTGGACATATATACTAAGAGAGACATGATTAAAAACAATGTTATACAAGCCGGAATAAGATGAGGATACATATCCGTGATAGAGTAGATAATGGAAGCGAGGTTGAGATGATTCAGATATATGAAGACTAGGAGCAAGGATGTATATATTAGTGAGAAGGTGTTAAAGATTGACTATAGCAAGAGTCTATTTGAAACAACTTCTCTATCCTGCAAAGATAGAGATAAGATATGCATACATATGTTGTCGTTTAAGTTAAAGCTCATTTAGGAACCAAAGGGAAAAACACAAGACTTTCCTAACATGTAGGCAAATTAAGTTACTCTACTTCACATTGTTGGCTGTTTTCCATATATTAAATGGAATCAACCATTTTTTTTTTATTTTCCATCACCTACCACTAGATTTGAACTTTCTTCATCTCCACTTGGACTTGGTTATTCTACTTGACAAAATTTTTCTATTCATCAAGCTTCTTCATAGGGCAACTTGACTTGGCTTTTTTCCACACTACCTTTCTTGGTCTCTTCTTCTTATTGCCTATATAAGAAGCTAATTTTATGTTTCCTTAACACACAATTTCACCTCTAACTATTTCTTACTCTTCTCAATTCCTAATTTTGCTATGGCTTTTCTAAGTTCTCTTGTAGCTTCCTTTACTTGTTGGGCTGCTAATCCAAATTACAGGTCTCTCTCTTCTTACATACACTACACTTCAATCTTTAAGCTTTTTAGTACAGAGCTTGTTATATTTAAAATTTTGGGTCCTGACCTACTATTTGTTTCAATTTTAGTAACATTTTATACATGTACTTATGCCCCGCGTTAGAAGTACTGAGTTCAAATGAATTATACCATTACTTGTCTCATGCATGCATATATTTACTTATAAATGTCCTATTAAATAACACTACATATATATAATTTTTTGTTCTAGGAAGGTGCAGTAGGCCCTATTGATAAGGACATAAAAAAAATAGGTTTAATAACGTCACGCAATTGTGACATCTACAAATAAGTTATTTATGGATCTATTAACCAACCATTAGAGTATTTTTAGTGTTTTATATTGTGTATAATGGTCAGTACTAAAGATTCACATTATCGACATCGACTTGTTTCCATTGAGGCGTTATTATTGTTGTTATTATTATTTTGATGTTCTTTTTTTTGTCATAAATGTAGGAGCGCAGCCTATCGGAGTATGCTATGGAAAAATTGCCAATAATTTACCATCAGATCAAGATGCCATAAAATTATATAAAGCTAATAACATCAAGAAAATGAGAATTTACTATCCACATACAAATGTCTTTAATGCCCTCAAAGGAAGTAACATTGAAATAATTCTTGATGTCCCAAATCAAGATCTTGAATCCCTAGCCAATCCTTCAAATGCCAATGGTTGGGTTCAAGATAATATAAGAAATCATTTTCCCGATGTTAAATTCAAATATATAGCCGTTGGAAATGAAGTTGATCCTGGTAGAGAGAGTGGTAAATATGCACGATTTGTTGGTCCAGCAATGGAAAATATTTACAACGCGTTATCATCAGCAGGGTTGCAAAAATCAAATCAAGGTCTCAACATCGACATATTCAGGGCTCTTAACCAACACCTACCCACCTAGAGATAGCATTTTTCGCGAAGAATATAAAAGTTTCATTAATCCTATAATTGGATTTCTAGCACGACATAATCTTCCACTCTTAGCCAATATTTACCCTTATTTTGCCCATATTGATAACACTAACGCCGTTCCTCTTTCTTATGCACTTTTCAATCAACAAGGGAGAAATGATGCAGGATATCAATATCTTTTCGATGCCCTTGTGGATTCAATGTATTTTGCTACGGAGAAACTTGGAGGACAAAATATTGAAATTATTGTATCGGAAAGTGGTTGGCCTTCTGAGGGACACCCTTCAGCAACTCTGGAAAACGCGAGGACTTATTATACGAATTTGATTAATCACGTGAAAGGAGGGACTGGAACACCAAAGAAACCTGGAAAGACCATAGAAACTTATTTATTCGCCATGTTTGACGAAAATAGAAAGGATGGTAAACCAAGTGAGCAACATTTTGGACTCTTTTATCCTGATAAGGGAGAGGCAAGTGAGAAACATTTTGGACTCTTTAATCCTGATCAGAGGCCAAAATATCAACTCAATTTTAATTAATGATAGCATATATTATAATTAATATATAGATAGTTTATATTATATATGAATAATAAGGAGAAATGGTATGTTTTATCTTTCAATAAATGATAGTATATATATTTAATTAATATGTAGTGAGAAAATGTATGGCCTCTTGTGTGTTCCTTGATATCAAAAATTAATATTAAGTATTTTTAATAAGATATGTATTTTAATTGAAAGGATGTGTCCTTTCATTCTTTGGTTATTTTAAATCCAATTTTTGAAGATTGCAACGTAACTTTTACAGAGTATCTTTCTCTACAATATTCCTCAAAGAATTCTTTTATTCTCCAAAAAGGACCAAGTTCATATTTTCAAAACTTCATCGTTGTTTTCACATAAATTTTGTGTTCTTGGTATATAATTTTTAACTCTCCGTTTCTATTAGTCTGTCTGATTTTGATTTGAAATAAAGTGTAAGAAAGTAAAAAAAAAAATTGAATTTTATGAATTAAAGTATGTCGATATCAGCACATCCTTTAATTTTGTGATCTTAAACATGTTATATGGAAAGTTAAAATTAAAGAGTTGCCAAAAAAAGAAAAGAAACACCCAACAAGTACCTGACCATGCCAAGTTTATGTCGAATGTCAGAGGCGTATCAAGGAGGGGGTCACCAGGTTCACGTGAACCCATGCTCCCCTCCTTAAATCTTATGTAGTAGTGTTATATTTTTAAAAAAAAATATTTAAATATAGATATGTGAACCCATAGTTGAAGTACATACCGTGCGATTATGATTGGGTGCACCTCTCTAAGTGAGGTTAGAAATTTGAATATTTTATTTAGTCACGTTTTATTTTCCTTTCTAAAATTGGATAACACCTCTCTAAGTGGTTTGGATAGGTAAATATAATTTTGGACCTATAATTTTAAAATTTTAATTATTTTTAGTGATAAGAACCTAAATGTTAAACCGATCAAATTTATATATTAGATCCATCTTTTCGTAATAGTGCATCCATCATCTCAAAATCCTGAATACGCGCTTTCAATCTTTTAATTCTTTTTTAAACGAACTAAAAATAAAATAAATTAATTAAAATAAGTGAAGTATAAATATATTTTCTTCACGATGATAGTTATATTAGACATGCAAAATTGCTCAATTTCACTTAATATAAAATAATTTGACCTTTTCCTTGTATTGAATAGAATCAGCCATTATTCTCGTATCGTAAAATACTAAAATTCATTGACTCCATCCCATTACTAAATTTGAGCTTTCTACGCATCTTCAAAATTTAAGGACGATGGGTGCACTACTAAATGTGGATGTGTGTTATGTTAAATATTGACACCTCGGGTTAGTTTGGTTTTAACTAAAAAAAGTCAACTCGAGATCAAATCAACCCGACATTATATATATAATTTTTAAAATTTATTTTATACATAAAAGTATATACTTCGATGTAATTTCTAAATATTACTTATAAGTTTTTATAATTTTTATCTTTTAATATATTTTTTCAAGTCTTTTGAGACTTAAATTTTTTGAATGGTCCAACAAATGTTATAGTCCATAGATATTAGTAACTCTAATAAAGCTCAATTCGAAGTCAAATCAATACTATGCTAACAAAATAAATTAACTCAACACTAAGAATTACAATAATGTTGAATATTTATTCTTTAGTTTGACATTGGTTTAGACATTTAAAATACATAATCTAATTTTAATTTTTCTTTAATGTTTAATCATGTAACTAATACGTATTAGACTTATTTTAGCATGATTTAGTACTTTTAAATTATGATCATTTTCATTATGACTTTGCAATATTTATTTTATATGATGATTTCATTATTATTTTTTATTGAATATTTTCATGTCATCACTCATCTCATATTTTGTGCTATTTTCTTAAGAAACACCATAGATAGTTGTATTTTGGTTGGACTAAAGAAATATTTGGAGCACAAGTTAATTATATGTTTGTATGCATACTTTACCGGAAAAATTCAAAAACTTGAACAAATTTGAGGTTTATTAGTTTGGTTTTATTTAAAAATTTAAAAATTTAAAAATTCGACACAATGGTTTTAGTTTGTTATTTGAAAAACCCAAACCAATCCGAGGTTGGAAAATTCAAAAAAAACCCGAATTTTATTAGCTTGGTTTGGTTTATAAATTTAAAATATTTTACACAAATGACTTGATTTGATATTTAAAAAACCCGAACCAACCCGATCATATATACCCCTAATTACGACAATCACAAATTCTATATAAAATAACTATTGGGTTCACAAAAAAATAAATTGCTAACAATTAAATGAGTAGACTTCACATGTCCATTTTCTTTAACAAGAAAAAGTACAAGTTTACCCTTAAACTATTGAGTATAGTTTAAAATCAACCATTTTTTTCTCATTTTTTTCCCATAACCTACTCTAGATTAGAAATTTCTTCATCCCCATAAGATACGTTTATATGACTAAATTTCACTATCAATTGAACTTCTTCTTAGGGTAAACTTGACTTAGTTTTTTTTTCCACTCTGCTTTTCTTCTTTTTGTCTATATAAGAAGTAATTGGATGTTTCCTTGACACACAATTTTACCTCAAATATTTCTTAGTCTTCTCAATTCCAATTTTGCTATGTCTTTTCTAAGTTTTCTTGTAGCTGCCCTTTTACTTGTTGGGCTGTTAATCCAAATGACAGGTCTCTCTCTCTTACATACAAACTAATAATGTATTTTTACGCTATATATTAAGAGTAACGTATTATAATATCGTAGCAGATAATCTATTTTATTTACTAATTAAGTTATTGATCTCAATTACTGTAAATAGTTAAGGGTATTTAATCTAGGTGACCTAATAGTATAACAATTCTTCCGATGTTGGTGTAAATGAGTTAAAAATTCTATTAAAAAGCACTTCATATTTTTCAAAATTAGGAGGGTCCTATTGGTGAGGACATAAAGAATGATAAATCTACCTAACTAAGCAAACATAATTACGGTATATACTTAATTAAGCGGTATTTTAGTTTTTTTTTTATCTAACATAGTTATACTTAAAATTTTATAACTAATCACTTCTCTCTTTTCCTCTTTTGCTCGCCACTCTCCTCCCTCTTCCTCTCCTCTCACATTTTTTTTCGCCCTCTCTCTCTACCTCTCTACAATTCATTGCATGAATCTTTCTTCTTATCCTTATATGTTTCTTATATATCAATACAAAACTCAATTAAGCTTTACCTGAATTATTAATTTTTATCTACATGTGCTTCTTGATCTTCAATATTTTCTATGTGACTGCTAATTGTTGATTCATTTTTATTGGATTTAACGCTGGTATATCAAAAATTCTCATTATGGGTTCTTGATTTGTTGTTCTATGTTTGAATCTCTTATTCTTCTTAGATTGGTACAACCAATTTTATATATGTATGAGAAAAAATGAAACAGTTATTTTCAAAGTGTAGCTTCTTCGATTGATACAACCAATTATATATATCAGGAAAAATGAAACAATTATTATCAACGTGTATCTTCTTTAATAGATTCATAATGATACATCCAATTGATCTACGTATCAGAAAACAATATAAAAATTGATATAGCTATTATTTGACTAGATTTTTGTACATATAAAAAATGAATACAACTATTATACAAAAATACTGTATTTATATATTTATTTTAGGGATGATATTCAAACTTTGTATCAATATTTTTTTCATTTGTATATCACAATAAATTGATACAGATTATATCTGTGTATTTATTTTAAGGGTGATATAATATATATATATGTCTATCTATATTTCAATTTCAAAACTAATATGTGCATTTGTGTAGCTATGTGCAAGATTGAGAGAGGAGAAATGACAGCGAGATTTGGGAAAGAGAGAGAGAAAGAGAGGAGATTGTGTATATGTGTATCTTAGTTTCAATTAAGATATACAAGTTGTTTCTAAGATACAACATGCTTGCCTCTCTCCTCTATCTCTCTTGATCTCGCTCGACTCTCTCTTCTATCTTTCTTTGTCCCGCTCTCCTCTTTCCTCTCTCTAAAATTGTTGTTATGAATTGTGAATAGATAAACAATACTATTTATAATTATAGTCCAAACTATAACTATTTATCATTATAATGTAGGAGCACAACCTATTGGAGTATGCTATGGAAAATTTGCAAACAATTTGCCATCAGATCAAGATGTCAAAAACCTATACAATTCTAATGGCATTAAAAAGATGAGAATTTACTATCCAGACACAAATGTCTTCAATGCTCTCAAAGGAAGTGACATTGAAATAATTCTTGATGTCCCAAATCAAGATCTTGAAGCCCTAGCCAAACCTTCAAGTGCCAATGGTTGGGTTCAAGATAATATAATAAGTAATTTTCCAGATGTTAAATTCAAATATATAGCCGTTGGAAATGAAGTTGATCCCGGTACAAATACCGGTCAATATACACAATTTGTTGGTCCAGCAATGGAAAATGTTTACAACGCGTTAACATTAGCAGGATTGCATGATCAAATTAAGGTCTCAACCGCGACATATTCAGGGCTCTTAACAAACACCTACCCACCAAGTGCTAGTATTTTTCACGAAGAATACAAAAGCTTCATTAATCCCATAATCGAATTTCTAGCACGAAATAACCTCCCACTCTTAGCCAATATTTACCCTTATTTTGGCTATATTTATAACACTAACGACGTTCCTCTTTCTTAGGCACTTTTCAACGATCAAGGGACTAATTCCGCGGGATATCAAAATATTTTTGATGCCCTTTTGGATTCAATGTATTTTGCTATGGAGAAAGTTGGAGGACAAAATATTGAGATCATTGTATCGGAAAGTGGTTGGCCTTCTGAGGGACATCCTGCAGCAACTATGGAAAATGCACAGACTTATTATACGAATTTGATTAATCATGTGAAAGGAGGGGCTGGAACACCAAAGAAACCTGGAAGGACCATAGAAATTATTTATTCGCCATGTTTGATGAAAATGAAAAGAAGGGAGATGCAAGTGAGCAACATTTTGGACTCTTTAATTCTGATCAGAGGCCAAAATATCAACTCAATTTTAATTTATGATAGCGTATTATAATTAATATATAGATATTTTATATTATATATGAATGATAAGGAGAAATGGTATGTTTTTATCTTTCAATAAATGATAGTATATATATTTAATTAATATGTAGTGAGAAAATGTATGGCCTCTTGTATGTTCCTTGATATCAAAAATTAATATTAAGTATTTTTAATAAGATATGTATTTTAATTGAAAGGATGTGTCCTTTCATTCTTTGGTTATTTTTAAAATCCAATTTTTGAAGATTGCAACGTAACTTTTACAGAGTATCTTTCTCTACAATATTCCTCAAATAATTCTTTTATTCTCCAAAAAGATCTAGTTAATATTTTCAAAATTTCATCTTTGTGTTCATATAAATTTTGTGTTCTTGGTATATATTTTCCAACACTCTCCGTTTCAATTTGTTCTGTCTGATTTTGATTTGATATGGAGTTTAAGAAAATAAAGAAAACTTTTGAATTTTGTGAATTAAAGGTATGTAGATACCAACCTGTCTTTTAATCTTGTGATCTTAAACATGTTATATGGAAAGTTAAAATTAAAGAATTGCCAAACAAAAAAAAAGAAACACCCAAAAGTACCTTAGCATGCCAATTGCCAAGTTTATGCCTTCAATCTTTTAATTCTTTTTTTAAAACGGACTAAAAATAAAAATAAAATAAATAAATTGAAACAAGTAGAATATAAATATATTTTTTAAGAATAATAGTTATATTAGACATGCAAAATAGCTCAATTTCACTTAATATAAAATAATTTGACTTTTTCCTTGTATTGAATGGAATCAGCCATTATTCTCATATCGTAAAATTCACTGACTCCATCACATTAGTAAATTTGAACTTTCTACGCATTTTTCAGGATTTGAAGGCAATGGATGCACTATTAAATGTGGATGTGTGTTATGTTAAATATCGACACCTCAACATAAAAAATTATTAAACAAATATAAAATTGAATGTATCAGTTAATATAAATTAAACAAAAATGTAATATCGTTCAATGGTAATTTGATGATTTCGACCCTCAGTGTATTTGAAGTTGCTAGTTCGAGTCTGACTTGACTTTCTTATATGTCATTTGAAGCATAGGCATTGGACCAGTGCACCAAATGAGCTTTTATGTTTAAGAGAGCACAATTAAATATATGGTCCTTATTTAGGTATATACATAAGTTTTTCTGAAATTAATTTCTGCAAAAGGTCCCCCTCCCTCAAACGTGGGTCTATCTATGGTTGAACATCTTGACAACTCCCTAGATCCATCCCTGTTGATTTATTTTTCTTCTAGATTGTCATCACAAATTTCTTTCAAGATAAATTTTAGAATTTGTAGTTTATGAATGTTAATTACAACAATCACAAATTCTATATACAATAACTATTACACAAAAAAATTAATCTCTTAAAATTAAATGAGTAGACTTCACATGTCCATTTTCTTTGAGAAGAAAAAGTACAAGTTTACCCTTTAACTATTGAGTATAGTTTAAAATCAACCATTAAATGTAATCAACCATTTTTTTCTCATTTTTTTTCCATCACCTACTTTAGATTGGAAATTTCTTCACCCCATTAGGTACGTTTATATGACTTGATTGTTCTACATGACTAAATTTCACTATTATTTGAACTTCTTCTTAGGGTAAACTTGACTTAGTCTTTTTTTTCCACACTACCTTTCTTATTTGTCTATATAAGAAATAATTTGATGTTTCCTTAACACACAATTTCACCTCAAATATTTCTTACTCTTCTCAATTCCAATTTTGCTATGTCTTTTCTAAGTTTTCTTAGAGCTTCCCTTTTACTTGTTGGGCTGTTAATCCAAATGACAGGTCTCTCTCTCTTACATACTCACTAATAATGTATTGTTACACTATATATTAACATATTATAATATAGTAGCAGATTATCTATCTTATTTACTAGGCTATTGATCTTAGTTACTATAAATATTTAGGGGTATTTACGTCTAGGTGATCTGATAGTATAAGAATTCTTTCAATATTGATGTAAATGAGTTAAAATTTCTAGTTGAAAAGCAGTTCATATTTTTCAAAATTAGGAGGGTCCTATTGGTGAGGACATAAAGGATGATAAATCCACATAACTAACCAAGCATAACTATTCTATATACATGATCAAGTGATACTTTAATTTTTTTTTATCTAATCTCTTCTTCCTTTTCATCTTTTGCTCGCCACTCTCCTCCCTCTCTCTCCCTCCTACTCTCCTCTCACATTTTTTTCTCGCCCTCTCTCTCTCTCCCTCTCTACATTTCATTGCATGAATTTTTCTTCTTCTTTCTTATATTAAAATTAATACAAAACTCCATTAAGCTTTACCTGAATTATTAATTTTTATCTACATGTACTTCTTGATCTTCAATATTTTCTAGGTGGCTGCTAATTGTTGATTCATTTTTATTGGATTAATGCCGGTATATCAAAAATTCCCATTATGGGTTCTTGATTTGTTGTTCAATATTTAAATATTCTATTCTTCTTAGATTGATACAATCAATTGTATATATGTATCAGGAAAAATGATACAGTTATTATCAAAGTGTATCTTCTTTAAAAATGAAACAATTGTTATCAAAGTGTATCTTCTGTAATTGATAGATAATGATACATCCAATTGATCTAGGTATAAAAATAATTTATAAAAATTAATATACTTGTTATCTGACTAGATTTTTGTAATACAAAAAAAATCTAATACAACTATTACCTGAAAAGTAATGTATTTATATATTATTTTAGGGGTTAAGGGTGATATTCAAACATTATATCAATATATTTTTTTCATTTGTATATCACAATAAATCAATACAGATTGTATCATGTATTTATTTTAGGGGTGACACAATATGTATATGTCTATCTATATTTCAATTCAAAACTAATATGTGCATTTGTGTGTGAGATTGAGAGAGGAGAAATGACAGCGAGATTTGGGGGAGAGAGAGAAAGAGAGAAGATTGTGTATATGTGTATCTTAGTTTCAATTAAGATATACAAGTGATTTCTAAGATACAACATGCTTGCCTCTCTCTTCTGTCTCTCATGAACTCGCTCGTCTCTCTCTTCTATCTCTCTGTATCCCGCGCTCCTCTTTCCTCTCTCTAAAATTGTTGTTATGAATTGTGAATAGATAAACTATACTAGTTATAGTTATAGTCCGAACTATAACTATTTGTCATTATAATGTAGGAGCACAACTTATTGGAGTATGCTATGGAAAAATTGCCAACAATTTACCATCAGATCAAGATGTCAAAAACCTATACAATTCTAATGGCATTAAAAGATGAGAATTTACTATCCAGACACAAATGTCTTCAATGCTCTCAAAGGAAGTGACATTGAAATAATTCTTGATGTCCCAAATCAAGATCTTGAAGCCCTAGCCAATCCATCAAGTGCCAATAGTTGGGTTCAAGATAATATAATAAGTAATTTTCCAGATGTTAAATTCAAATATATAGCCGTTGGAAATGAAATTGATCCCGGTACAAATACCGGTCAATATACACAATTTGTTGGTCCAACAATGGAAAATGTTTACAACGCGTTAACATCAGCAGGATTGCAAGATCAAATTAAGGTCTCAACCGCAACATATTTAGGACTATTAACAAACACCTACCCACCAAGTGATAGTATTTTTCACGAAGAATACAAAAGTTTCATTAATCCCATAATCGAATTTCTAGCACGAAATAACCTCCCACTCTTAGCCAATATATACCCTTATTTTGGCCATATAGATAACACTAACGACGTTCCTCTTTCTTATGCACTTTTCAACGATCAAGGGACTAATTCTGCGGGATATCAAAATCTTTTTGATGCCCTTTTGGATTCAATGTATTTTGCTACGGAGAAACTTGGAGGACAAAATATTGAGATCATTGTATCGGAAAGTGGTTGGCCTTCTGAGGGACACCCTGCAGCAACTATGGAAAATGCACAAACTTATTATACGAATTTGATTAATCATGTGAAAGGAGGGGCTGGAACACCAAAGAAACCTGGAAGTACGATAGAAACTTATTTATTCGCCATGTTTGATGAAAATCAAAAGGATGGACAACCAAGTGAGCAACATTTTGGACTTTTTTATCCTGATCAGAGGCCAAAGTATCAACTCAATTTCAATTGATGATACTATATTATAATTAATATATAGTGCTATGAATAATAAGGAAAAATTTGTGTCTTTCTCCTCAGTAAAATGATAGCATATATCTTATAATTAATATGTGTTGACAAATGTACGGCCTCCTTGTGTTTCCTTGATATGAATATATTTATGTTATATATACTTAGAAATACATTTTAAAGAAATGCATGCAAATTATGATAACATCGATATGTCTTTATGTTATATTCACCCCCACTAACAGAGAAAGATTAATGACTAATTTAGATTTTACTAATGTATTATAACAATAAGGGAAAATGCATAAGTACCCCCAGCCTGTGCCCAAAATCCCTGAGACACACCTAACTTTTACTAAGGTCCTATTACCCCCGAACTTATTTTATATATAATTTTCTACCCCTTTTCGGCCTACGTGTCACTATCCTTGAAAAATTTATCAACACACGTTGGGCCCACAAGATGGTGCCATGTAGGCAAAAAAGGGGTAGAAAATTATATATAAAATACGTTCGGGGGTAATAGGACCTTAGTAAAGGTTAGGTGTGTCTCAGGGATTTTGGGCATAGGCTGGGTGTACTTATGCATTTTCCCTAACAATAAATTATTTTATTACTTCCCCATTTTAGTTTGATTATCTTATTTTGATTTGACATATGACTTTTAAGAAATTAAGTAAAGAATGTACCAAAATGTCATTTAATCTAGTGGTCTTAATTAAATATGTCATGTAGAAAGTTAAACTTTCATAATTGTCAAAAACTAAAAGAGACGGTCATTTTGAAATAGATTAAAAAGAAAAGCTAAGACAAACAAATTCTAATGGAAAGAGTACATAACTATAAACAATAGTAGTTAAATGTGTTGAAGTGTGTAACTATCTCATCTAAAAGCGGGTTCGATTCTTTTTCATGGGTCAAGCACGTGAAAATTCTTTTTGATTTGGATGGCGGTGAGAGTCGATC